AGAGCAACCGTAGAATGGTTGACGATGAGTTCTTTACAGCATCTCGTGTAGTTCTAAGAGAATCAGCTTTGATGTTTACTTTCATTTGGTCGTTGTCAACTTCCCATGGCAGGTCACTACGTTCCTCATTTTTTAAGCTCTCGTCTTCTTTACGAAACTTCTTGAACCGCCTCTGCCCTGTATGTTCGTTAGCAGAATTCGGGTCAAATGTGTAGTGAGTGACGTAATTTGTCTCTGCTGCTTTATGACTAATTTTGAAGCCGTATTTTGAAACCGCCATTATTTTCGTACCAATAAACATCCTTTCCATAGTCTAAAACAAATGTAAAATAAACAGTAAGTAAAACGTCATTAGCAGCTGAACATGGAGTTAGAAATGTGCTTCAAAATGATATATAACATGACCGCATTCATTTGATAATTTACATCATTGTATAAGAGCAAGAAGCCAGTGGTTAGGGGTGCCTCACGTCGCACTCAAGATCGACGGTTCGATCTCGCGCTCATGGTTCATCAAGCATCCATCAATCCGGGGCTGATTGTTACTGGACTGGTGGCAGACTTGTCGGGGAGGATAGGCAGCACTGAATCGATACATTAGGAGGCCACCGGGGTATTAGTAAAGGCCAGATATGCATTCAATCACCTCAAACGAAGTTAGAAACTAAAGACGTATGCATGGCGCATCACTCAGGGTTTGGTCAACACTGGGAGCTTTATCAATTTTCTTTGCAATTTATGAGCTAATCAAACTGAAAATCTCAAGAGTGTATGAACAACCAATACTTTTGCACCAACTCGAGAATAGAAATTCAGCATGTAAATATCAAGAATATATGTAGCAGTACTTACTAGATGATGGTTTGAGTGCTCTTGCTACTTTTTCTTTGCAAAAAAATTAGTCACAGTAATGCTTTGTATGGATTTCAGGTACTTTGTAGCCGCCGTTATCAATCTTCTATTTCTCTCTCTTCCACTCTTTCGGTGAGCTAAACTTTCCTTTCCTGAGCCTTCCATATCGTTATAGCGATAGCGATGCTTGCAGATATACATGGGACTTTGTGTGGATTCGTATTGAAGGAGGATTTTCATTGGGACGGTGTTGGCAGATTTTTCTTCCACATCTTGCTTTGATGGCCAGGTTAGGTTTTGTGTACTAGAGACTGTTTTGAAAGAAAATTGGTTGTTTTCGGTTAAAGAGGAACAAATGAATAGTCGACTTCATTGGTTGTACAAGAATTTTTCATAGCAATTTTAGTAATCATCCGGAAAGCTTGGTACTCTGGCTAGCGCGCTACGTGGCCGGTTTTTCAAATCACCCTTTTATAACACTTTAACTGGAATTATATCCTGCACGATCGTGCGTTTTTTTTTTCTTATCTCTCTTATACTTCGCTGAACAAAACTGCTTTGTTAGACTTCTAATGCTCATTCAAAAGCACAATTCTTGAAGGAGCAAAAAAAGTGCAATCTTGCGCAGAAGCTCCTTTGAGAGCTCTTGAAGGGTAAGAAAAGATTTCTGTTTTACACCTCGCCGGTAGAGCTCTTTCTTTATACCATAAGTAATCTTTCGATAGCGAAATATCGTAATCTTCAGTGATTTTAACATTGTGTTGTGCTTATTTTTCTGGAAAGAGCGTATTTTGCGGTTGAATAGAGAAAATAAGATCAGTTCCTCATGAGGGCTTGCTTGTTTAGCGGCGTATCCATGAGCTGGGGAGGGGGTGGGGGATTGATCGACAGTCTAACGCTGTTATTCAATCGGGATTTTTTTTTCGATTTGAGAGAAGAAGCCCCAGATAAAATGATTTACTCAGATACTACGAGATAATTCTCTACACGTTTATGCGCTTTTCGTGCTTCCAGCGAAATGCGCGTGATGGAAATCAAGGCGCGCGGTGGGTGTTACATAATTTTATTTTGTATGCTGCAGCGTCATAAAAGGGTCTTTTTGAAAAACGGCCGCGTAGCGCTGTAGCCAGAGATTTAGGCCTTCGAATGATTACTAACACTTTTATGAGGAGTTATTGACAAGCGAAATGGGTCGATTTTTTTATTTGTTCCCTTTCATGTCTTTCGTTTCGAGTGTTTTCTTAAGACCACTGCTCAAATTTCGCACTGACGAGATCGCAAGATCGAAACGCGTGTATCGGGCTCTATAAGTCAGCCCTCATTGATAGAGCACTGACATGCGTGGCTCAAATAATGATCATCAGGCATATTGTTCCCTTTCAATCGAACTGAACCGAACTTTTTATTATTAGGCTTTATTGTGGCTTTTAGTTGTCTGTTGACTCGTGTTTCAGGGCGATTTCATTCTATCAGTTTTTCTGTATAGTATACTGTGCCTCTACATTTACTGTGCTTTTGTTCGTAGCATATCTTGTTTTCGCACAATTGTTTTGTATATGGAATGGACAAACACGAATGGAGTATCTATTAGTGGGTTTATATTGTTTTCAACGTTTAGCTATTTTCACTGTTGCAACAAAAATTCTTTTATAGGAAATACATGCGTACCAACTAGGTGTTTTGGATAACCTCAATCAATGTCTCGGCTCTCGGTGGCCACTCATTATTATTTCACCGTTTATTCCGAGTCCTTTACCATCGGATGGAATGACGTTTGTAACGAGGGAAATCAAGGAATATAATGATCCGAAATATTTGTAGATTATTCCCCAAATAATGCTTCTATATCATTAGTCATGCCTGTTTGATCTCTTTCTATTCCATTGATGACCATGATATGTCGTGAATTTTCTGCCTTAAATTCACTCTTCTACATTTCCTAAAAAGAGCAGAGAAAAATCGAATTTATATTTAATAACGTGTACAGTTCAATGGTCTGTAACATGTACAATAAACTGAATGTGTTCTGCTCTATTCGTAGCCATAGGCAAGTGTAGGACTTCAAAGATAGCTTTTTATATCTGTTCTGTTTCAACGTTGTGATTTGTTAATAGCGGCTAGGATAGCACATCAGCGCATCTCTACCCAGATACGTAGGTAAACTATCTAAAATTCCCATTTTATGTACCTATTTACATTTATTACTTGTTACTACAAAATGCATGTTTTTGTACAAACGTTCACATGAATTTTATGTGATCTATGAGAGTTTCAAATCTCGACAGTCTGAGACAAAGCAATCTCTTCACTTGCCTTGTATACTGCCTTGATGTGTATCAGAAGAGCATCTGTTTTCGATTTTTCATCCTCCAATATTTCCGAGGTTGTAGTTTGCTCTTGAGCGGGTATGGCACGGTGATCAGATGTAATCTTCCTCGCACATGTGGTCAACGGTTCGATCCTGCGCTCATGACTCATCGAGCCTTCGATGTCCTCGGGGTCGGTGAATCGGTACCGGACTTGTCTGAGAGGATTGCAGCAGTGACTTTAGTACATTGATGGGTTACGCTAGGCGGTCATTGTCAAGGCCAGATATGCATTCAAAGAGCTCAAACGAAACTATGAAAGTGAATGGCGCATCCCTTAAGGGTTGATCAACGCCTAAAGCTTTTTCTTTTTTATATTTTCTAGTATGCTCTTGCTCGGGATCATTGTCCTAAGGGATCAAGAACGTTTTCAAACGTCCCTTTCAATCCAAAGAAAATTGCTTTTTTTACTATCAAACCATTGGTATGAAGGTTACATCACCCTACCAACCACTATTTCGACGAAGTGTTGCTCTGCTTGTTCGCTGCAACGCTTCTGATGTCGAACCATGCATTGCTGATATAAAGAAGAGATTTGCTTCATCCGATGTTTGATTCATTCTACCATTCTCAGAGTCGTTTGTGGTTTCTTTTGGACTTACAGGTAGAAAAGACATGATGGCACTTCTGTCGTGATAAACCATTGGTTCAAAGAAGTTGTATTCTATAATACGTCTGACTGTTTTATGTCTCGCAGTTCGTCTACCGGACCACCGAAATCAGATTACGTACGCCGAAAGACACCTGCAAGAGTCACGTTTTAATGAGGAGCTGTTCGACACACCGCTTGGCTCTTGAGAATCGGTAGTGGGTAGACTCTTCTGTCATGAACTCATTGTCCTTTCTTTTGTGTCGACTATGTGAGACAGTTTTGAATGCAATAATCAGCCTTATTCGAATTGAAGGAGTGACGAATGCGCACTTGATTACTCGAGTACTTCCTCGTTTGCAATTTTATCTCCTAAAGGCTAATTGGTTTGGCACCTACGTAACAGAATGTGTGTTGCCTGTAAAAAAATCATAGGCTTAGCTAAGACGTAAGAGAGTTGAATGGTGAGCAAATTTGACCTCACACGGGTGCTGAACCCTTGTTTACCCATACCAGGGACGCGTGCTACCACTGCAATACCAAGGCCATCGCTTCAACTTAAGGAGTCTTGATCTACATATATATATAAATAAAAAGGATAAAGCTCTCGGCGTTGAGCAATCCTCAAGGGATGCGCCATGCATTCGTCTTCAATTTCAAAGTTCGTTTGAGGTGATTGAATGCATATCTGGCCTTTACAATGACTCGCGGTGGCCTCCCGCTTAACCGAGTCAGTGCTGCTTGACCTCACAGACAGGTCTAAGACGAGTCTGGTACCAATTTACCGATCCCGTAGGGATGGATGGCTCGGTGAGCCATGAGCGCGAGATCGAACCATTGACCTCGTGTGGGACGCAGGGCACCTCTAACCACTGCGCCGCATGCGCTCCTACATATATATATATATATATATATATATATATATATGCACAAAAGCCGTCAGCCTAACTGGGCTTAGAAAGCGATGTGTGCTCATCCTGAGCAAACCTGTTAACGGTTGGTGGCTGATAGCTATGATAGCAAGATGTTGAAGAATAAACGGTGGGTAAACGGTGACTTCTGTGGTGTAGTGACACGCCCTCAGTATGGGTGAAACTCGAGTTCAACTCCTGTATAAGGTCAAGTTTTTGCTCACCACTCGAATCTCTTCGGTATATATGGAACCTCATAACACTGGGTGGTGAGCAAAAACCGGCCTTAGCCATGAATCGAGCTCGCGTTTCATCCATACCGGGGAGGCGTGCTCTACCACTACACCACCGAGGCACGTTTGCGCGACCACTCATTCTTCAACATCTCTGAGTTAGCTGTCAGCCATCAACCACTAACAGGTTTGATCGGGTATGCGATTTCAACTTTATCAACCCAGTTGAGCTGAAAGCCATTGTAATAACTAGTGCTCGAAATTTCCAGTATTTTTACAGCTAACAGCTAACATAGAGATCTTGAAGGATGAATGGTGGTGCAATTGTGCGTCGGTGGTGTAGTGGTAGTAGCACGCGTCCCCGGTATGGATTAAACGCGGGTCCGATTCCCGTCTGAGGCCGTGTTTTTGCTCACCACTCAATTTTCTTAGGTAAAAAAAAATACTATCTGTTCCCTTCTTGTGCTCATATTCTTGGTACTTGTCAATTATGAGGCGACAAATGATAAGCCAATTTCATTCGCTGGACAAGAACCTTTGATGCGAGTGTTGGTAATCCTTCCAAAGCTTACAATTCTTGCTGGAGCCCTACTTAGCCGTTTTCGAGAAGGCCCTTTTTATAACGCTGTAAAATCCACACAAGTCTATGTCTTAGATGCGCATATTTTTCGCCGAACGGAGCTCTTTCTTTGGACTATTAGCAATGATTCGATAACGTAATGTGCACAGAAATGGTCTTCCCAGAAAATGAGCGTTGGAATCAGCACAAATTGCGCTATCGAATGATACTATTATTCCATGAAAGAGCCCTGTCCGGCGGTAAATATGCGCTTCTGGAAGGCAATGAATTTCCTTCTCTAACAACGTCAAAAAGAAAGTCTCTTTTCAGAACGGGCCACTTGGAGCTGTAGCCAGAAATCTAAGCTTTTGAATCATTGCTCACACCTTATGAAAAGTTCTTGTTCATCGAATGAGATCGGTTTTTCATTTGTCGTCTCACAATGGAGAAGGTACCGTATTATTCATCAGAATTTCTGAAAATGTGTGCGTGAATTTTACGCTACTTCGGCGGCACAGTGAGATAGTCAAGCATTTTTTGTGTTAAGCGTTTCGATTCACTTTTTTTCAGCTTGGGTTATTCGTGTGCTATGCTTTATGCTGTTAGCGTTCAATGTGTACATGAACTGGTATAAGATGGTTACTGTTGGACCAAGTGGAGTCGACACTGTGCTTCCAAATGTGGTCAAGGCAGGTTTCCGGTACGTTCGCGAACAATTAGCCCACTTCGAAATCCGATCTCACCTTTTGGTTCTTTTCGATTATAAGGGAATAAATGAAACTCTGCGTCAATCGCTGTGCAAGAATTTTTCTTAGGAGTTCTAGTAATCATTCGAAAGCTCAAATCTGTGGCTAGAGTCTTGCGTGGGCCGGTTTTCAAATACACTTTTCTATAACGCTCGTAGCATTTTGAATAAAATTATGTTTTACATCGGCCACGCAATTCAGCTATTACTTTGCGGGAAGTTTGAAAAGCGCATGAACATGTAGAGAAAATCTTCTAGTATTGAGGTCAGACGTTAGATCTATAGTTTCTAGAATCGATGGACTGGTGTCTTTGAACGGAACATCCGCTGTGCCCCCACCTTACCCCGTAGAATGCCCAAAATTCCATTTCCTGCATATGCGAATTTGGTCTTGTTTTCCCTGCTGCACGGTAGAGAAAGGCTTCCAGATATTAAGCGCAACTCTAATCTCCAAATCTTACGGTATCGAATGATTACTAATAGTCTAAAATAAGAGCTCTGTCCGACGAGAACTATGCGCGTGTAAAACATAATTTTATTTTGGATTTTACAGCATTATAAGAGGGTATTTTGGAAAACCGACCTCGTGGGGCTGTAGCCAGAGACTTAAGCTCTGGAATTATTACTATTGGTCATAAGAAAAACTCTTGTGAAGCGAATGGAATCAAATATTCATTTGTTCCCTTATAATCGTAAGGTACCCACCTTTTTATTATTGGGTTGACGCAAAGTAATTGCGGTTCATGCACTGCTGGAGTTTGTCGTTTGATATTGGACACATTGATCGATTTAAAGCTTGAAGCTCTCAGCGTTGATTAATCCCTCAAGAAATGCGCCTTGCATTCTTTCAATTTTTAGCTTCGTTCGCGGTGATTGGAAAGCGTATGTGGCCATCACACTGATTCGTGGTGGTCTACCGATGTGTTAGTCAGTGGTACTGTCGCCCAGAGAAGTCGGGTCCCAATTCACCGGCCACGCAGGGATAGAAGGCTTGGTGAGTCTTGGGCACGGGGTCGGATCATGGACCATCGATCATGTGTGTCGCAGTGCACCTCTAGCCACTGCGCCACGCGCGCTCTGTAGTAAGAAGCCGAAATTACTGCATTATTTGAAATGTGGAGCCGCAGTTACTTTTGCAACAACCTCATAAAATTCAACGCGGTGTCGTATCATACTATGTAGTATTGTCGATTTTTTTGATACTTTTTGTTATATGGTTTTAGATCAAAAACCAATCTCTATCGCTTGACATGAACGTTTCAAAAGAGTGATAGTAGCCATTTCAAAGCATAATTCTCTGGTTATCGCTGTACGTGGACCGTTTTCTGAACAAGTTTCTTGCAACGCTCCAAGGGAAGGAAAACATCTGTATTTCACACAAGCGTTTTTCTCGCAAAGCTTTTTATCTAGACTATTCGATAGCGTAATGTTTAACGATTCCAATGCTGTGCTTATTTTCTAAAGAGACTGTTTATTTGCAGTTCAGTAGGGAAAATAAGATTAAATTCACGTAGGCGAGCATGAGTATTATGAATGTTCGACAGGATGGGGCGAGATGCAGGTCGCATGAGGACGTTTTAATACGGCCATCGACCGATTGGCTTTTTGGCAGGCACATGCGGAGTGGGTTTTTTATATTTAATTGGGATTGTCCCTCCGCTTTGAAAGAATTTTCAGGTTAAACCTTAGACTCTGATACTATAAGGTTTTTTCTGGACTTTTATGTGCTTTTCGTACTCCCAGCGAAGTCATGATTGAATTGTGCGGCAGATGTAATTTACATCTTAACAAAGAAGCTTCTCGAAAAAGAGCTACGTACTGCGTTGGCCAGAGATTTAAGCTTTCCAATCTTCGAGCTAGCCTCGCGAAAATGTTCTCAGGCATTCATTTGAGTGATTGAAATAGAAATCGCACCAGGGCATAGCTCACCATATCGCTTACTGATGCACTGCATCACTAGCCACTGCGCTCGCCACCTCAGTTGCAATTTGTCTCCAAATATTGAACTAATTATTAGCAGTGTGTTACACATCATTATATCATCTTGCTATACGATAGCGCTGTGAGCGAGTGGTTGTGGTGCTCGTGCGGCGCATGTAGAGCCGAACTCCCCGTCCCCAATCTTCTCCGACAGTCCACAATAGCGCCCTATGGAACGCCGCGGCCAGGCTATCCTCGAGATTGCGAAGAGACATGCTCAGCCATTATTCTATGTCATTCAAGCAGAAGACGAAAAACATCGAATGCTAGAAGTATTGGGATCCCACAATAAAAACAAATATGATGACGGGTCGTATTAGTAGAATAAATAATTAGATTTATATATATACAGTGTCAATATTAATATGTATCAATGTAGAACGCAATTCTTTGCAGGTATTGCCATTCATGTCATACGAACGCTCCACCTCGTGCTTATCACTGTCCTGGTGAGTATCAAAGACTTTTTACATTCGCCCGTTATTTTCATTATTATGTGATGTTCTGTCTCTCATTCACTTAACGACAGTAGCTTCTTCGGTACTCATATGTTAGGCGGCGGCAAAGTATTTGAACCAATCTCATTCGCTGGGCAAAGTTTTTTTATAGGAGTGTTAGAAATCATTAGAAAGCTTAAATTTCTGCGTACAGCTTGACGTTGTCGGTTTTTCAAAACACGCTTTCATAACCACTGCAGCATCCGGAATAAGATTGTGTTTCACACTCATCTTTCGCATTCATTTTGATCACGCGTGATAAACATGCTGGAAGCACGAAAAGCATATCAGCTTGTAGAGCATTTCCGATCTATCAGAATCTTCCGTTTTCATCGAATGTTTCTCTCGATGCCGTGAAAAATCTCCAAATGAATAACAACATTTCAAAAGCGATTGATCTTCCTGCACCGGAAGTGTTCGTAGCTGAGTAAAATGTGTAGGAAAGCCACAGCAACTTGTCAGTAAGGTAAGCTCCTGATGTACCGTGAAGCTCGATAGTGATCTAGCGCACAGTGCGTTAAAACGGCGGCAACTATTGTTGTTTTAGTGAGGTTATTTTCACTGGATCTCCAGAAACTCCAGATAGTAACGTAGGTTGTGATACTACGGAATATTCTGTACATGCTGATATGCCTTTCGTGCTTCCAGCGATTTATACTCGTGGTAAAAATGAAGGCCAAGGGCGAGTGAGAATCAAAATTTAATCCTGGATGCTACACCGTTATAAAAGGGTGTTATGAAAACCGGCAACGTAGAATTGTTGCCAAGCATTTAGGCTTTTTAATGACTAGCTAACGCTCTTATGAAAAGTTCCTGTGCGCTGAATGAGATCGGCTTGGAAGTTTGTCACCGCCTAACATGTATGTACCGCTTCTTCTTTTGGGAATATATTAGATTAGCCGTTTTATATCTCGTGAGAACTATTCATAAATTATCATTTCGTCCAGTTCCTGTTTCACTACTTAAATCTCCCCATTGAGACAATCAATGGGACGAATGCGCTCACGTCTAACATAGGCTATGCTAATCAAACCATTTAAAATGGTGCGTGTGTCACTTTATTTACGTGTATAATCAACATTATCTCACTTCCACGAATTCTTTTTGCAGTATGTGACAAGTGCTGCTTGCGCCGTGATCATCACTGCTCGTTCGGGGCTGTATGTGTTGGACATTTTCAATCAGAGGTACGAATTGTAGATCCAAATTTTTTTCTAATGTTGATGCTGTCCAGTTGAAAATGGACGAATGAAAAACCGATCTCATCCGCCGGAGAGGAGCTTTCGTAGAAGTGTTAATAACCATTCGACAGCTGAGACTTTAGGCTACAGCCTCACGTCGCTGGTTTTTCAAACACCCTTTCGTAACGCTGTAAAATCCAAAATCAAAGTTGCCTCAAACCGCATATTTCTCGCCGAACAGAGCTCTCTTTTGACTACTGGTAATTAATCGATAGCGTAATGGCTACCGATTCCAATGCTGTGCTTATATCCTGATAAGATCGCTTTTCTGCAACGCAACACATAAAGTAAGTTGAATTCTCATATGCGATCAAAGGGTCTTTGGTCAATTCACGTGCTTGTGTTTGAGACGGCCTCGTGAAGTGCTGACGCGATACTTCTCTACGCGTCATCCTACGTGGCTGCCTCAGCCGGCCGCACGTGAATTGGCCCGAAGTCTTGTCGCAGATGGGAATTAATAGGTTGGGGAAGAAGTTTTGAGAAAATGCTTGTGACTTTCTTGAGAGTCGGGCATTCTTTGTGTTTATGGGCTTATTTGAAAGCCCGTCTTCTCCCGCGCTGATTGGTATATAATATATAGCTACTTATTTCAAGATGAAGTCAACAGGCGGGCAAAGTAGGTTGTTGATGATGCACGAATGGGTGTTGAGTTGAAATGCCACGGTGGCAAGTGAACGCATCAATGGCTTGGGGCGAAGACACAGCTGGCAAAAGTGGAGTCGATTATTTGCCGGAAAAGTGGCAGGAAGTGCTCTGACTATTAGTCTTGTCTTTGTTCGGGTGTGATAGGTGCATAAACAAATGTTTTACAAGCACTTTCTCAGAACTTTTCCCTCAACCTATTAATTTGTTACTCTGCTCCTGCGTCTCAGAGAAACAGTCTTCTTCAGGATATCAGCACAGCTTTGAATTAAAAATGATTACGCTATCGAATGATTACTAATAATCCAAAGAAAGAGGCTTTGTCCGGCCTGACACATGCACGTCTGCTACGCAAGAAATCTCCTGCAGCAACGCCAAAAAGAAGGCTTCGAAAACCGACGACGTGGAGCTTTAGCCTTAAGGTTTCAACTTTCGAGTGGCTGCTAACACTCCTATGGAAACTTCTTCTCCAACGAGTGAGATCGGTTTTTCATTTGTCCCCTCATAGTTGAAGAGAACTTTTATGTTTTCTATTGCTTTTTCAAAATGTTATGATGTCTTCAACTAGCTGTCAGCTTAATGGATTCATAGAGCGATATTGCTTACCCGACCAAACCTGTCTAAGTGTTTATCACTCATAGCTATGATAGAGATATTTTGAAGTGTGAATGGTGATTAAGCGGTGGCCTCGGTGGTGTAGTGGTAGCATACGCCCTTGGTATGGGTGAAACTCGAGTTCAACCCCTGTCTGAGGTCGAGTTTTTGCCTACCACTCAATTTTCTTAGGTACAAGGGTCTAATGTTGAGTTTGATTGTGTATTTGTGAAATGCGTTAAAGCATTTTTCAAAGGTTTTCTGTCACTCGATAAAATTCCATCATGTCTTTTCATAAGTTGTGGCATCACAGAAGTTAGTACTAAAGTTCATTAACAGAAGTGATTAAAATTGCGTAACAGCACTATTCAGAGTTATGTATCATTAGCCTGAACACTTTTCTGCCAACTATCAGGCATCAAATCAATACTAGCTTTGTGCAAAATTTCCTGGACTTTTTTTTTGGTACGAAATTTCTCTACACTTCCCGCTTCGTGGTTTCGTGGCATCATCGTGAAACTCAGCAAGGAACTGAAACGCTGTTCGCGTAGACACAGATCCTTGAGCTTTTGCGCGATTGATGCTGTCGAAGGCAGTTTGAGTGTGTGTCCCAATTCGTCCTCGTTAATTGGCAGAAATGTGTTCGGGCTAGTGACGCCTGCTTTTCCATAGTGTTGGTAAGCAATTTCAATACTACTGGTCAATAATTCATTACTGCTGTAGTGCCAAAAATATGAGAAGACCTAATGATCGTCAAATTGAACAAAGAAAAGTACAAAGTAGTCAATATGTTATTCTGTCGTAGCGTTTCGCATTATATGCGAGTGTGATTCCTTTCTAGCATTTAGCAGTCATTACAATTCTTACTTGGTGAAAAATAATGGCGGTTTCAGGCGGTAAGTTTTTGGATGATTAGAACCATCCTCGTACACATCTTTATTATTCAAATTAAGATCATTACAATAAGTACATTACCAACGAGAAATGGGCTTGCTCTTTTTGTAGCTCAAAAATCGCTGCTACGCGGTTCGACGAACTTCTAGAAGGCATCGCCTGCATTCTGTTGGTTGTGGAAGCCTTTTCTCAACAAAAAATTGTCGATATGCTTGAAGAAGTGGTAGTCGGTGAGCGCGAGGTCCGCTCGAATATGAAGTATGAGACAAAACTCTCTGGCCCAATTCATTTTTGGATCTTCAAAGCATTCGTTGTGCCACTGTCGATCTGGCTGGACAAATCGTTTTTACTTTTGCACCAACTTTTCTCACTCTCTCATTTTCCAGTTTGATAATTTGGTAACAAATATACTCTACTTATGTAGAGTGACGTGTCAAAACTTTCGCGTCAGGCGAGACTCGAACCCATGTCTCGATTTATCCAGGAGCGGATAAGTGAGATGTGGGTTCGAGTCCCGCCTGACGCGAAAGTTTTGCACATCACTTTACAATAGTGGCTGTATTTGTAACATCATACGACCGCTAGAAGCGGTTGAATGAGAAAGGGAATTCATTCTGATAGCATTTTTCGGGCCTTTTGTAAGGCGTCGTATGGCACTTATACAGTGCTAACACGTGATTCGCCATCACAGGCCCATCAGTAGCACGGTGCCTTTCGGTTTAACCAATCCCTTACAGGGTGTTATACCTCCTGCTTATAAAGAAATGCTCCAAATTTGCTTTAACTAGAGAGCAACCGTAGAATGGTTGACGATGAGTTTCTCTACAACATCTCGTGTAGTTCTAAGAGAATCAGCTTTGATGATTACTTTCAATTGGTCGTTGTCGGCTTCCCATGGCAGGTCACTACGTTCCTCATTTTTAAGCTCTCGCCTTCTTTACGAAACTTCTCGAACCGCCTCTGCCCTGTATGTTCGTTAGCAGAATTCGGGTCAAATGTGTTGTGAGTGACGTAATTTGTCTCTGCTGCTTTATGACTTATTTTGAAGCCGTATTTTGAAACCGCCATTATTTTCGTACCAATAAACATCCTTTCCATAGTCTAAAACAAATGTAAAATAAACAGTAAGTAAAACGTCATTAGCAGCTGAACGTGGAGTTAGAAATGTGCTTCAAAATGATATATAACATGACCACATTTATTTGATAATTTACTTCATTGTATATGAGCAAGAAGCCAGTGGGTAGGGGTGCGTCGCGTCGCACTCAGGATCGACGGTTCGATCTCGCACTCATGGTTCACCAAGCATCCATCCATCCGGTGTTGATTGTTACTGGACTGGTCGCAGATTTGTCGGGGAGGATAAGCAGCACTGAATCGATACTTTAGGAGGCCACCGGAGGTATTGGTAAAGGCCAGATATGCATTCAATCACCTCAAACGAAGTTAGAAACTGAAGACGTATGCATGCGCATCCCTCAGGGTTTGATCAACAGCGGGAGCTTTATCAATTTTCTTTGCAATTTATGAGCTAATCGAACTGAAAATCTCAAGAGTGTATGAACAGCCAATACTTTTGCACCAACTCAGTAATAGAAATTCAGCATGTAAATATCAAGATATATGTAGCAGTACTTACTAGATGATGGTTTGAGTGTTCCTGCTACTTTTTCTTTGCAAAAAAAAATTGGTCACAGTAATGCTTTGTATGGATTTCAGGTACTTTGTAGCCGCCGTTATCAATCTTCTATTTCTCTCTCTTCCACTCTTTCGGTGAGCTAAACTTTCCTTTCCTGAACCTTCCATATCGTTATAGCGATAGCGATGCTTGCAGATATACATGGGACTTTGTGTGGATTCGTATTGAAGGAGGATTTTCATTGGGACGGTGTTGGCAAATTTTTCTTCCACATCTTGCTTTGATGGCCAGGTTAGGTTTTGTGTACTAGTGACTGTTTTGAAAGAAAATTGGTTGTTTTCGGTTAAAGGGGAACAAATGAATAGTCGACTTCATTGGTTGTACAAGAATTTTTCATAGCAATTTTAGTAATCATCCGGAAAGCTTGGTACTCTGGCTAGCGCGGTACGTGGCCGGTTTTTCAAATCACCCTTTTATAACACTTTAACTGGAATTATCATCCTGCACGATCGTGCGTTTTTTTTTCTTATCTCTCCTATACTTCGCTGAACAAAACTGCTTTGTTAGAGTTCTAATGCTCATTCAAAAGCACAATTCTTGAAGAGAGCAAAAAAAGTGCAATCTTGCGCAAAAGCTCCTTTGAGAGCTCTTGAAGGGAAAGAAAAGATTTCTGTTTTACACCTCAGCCGGGTAGAGCTCTTTCTTTATACCATAAGTAATCTTTCGATAGCGAAATATCGTAATCTTCAGTGATTTTAACATTGTGTTGTGCTTATTTTTCTGGAAAGACCGTATTTTGCGGTTGAATAGAGAAAATAAGATCAGTTCCTCATGAGGGCTTGCTTGTTTAGCGGCGTATCCATGAGCTGAGGAGGGGGTGGGGGATTGATCGACAGTCTAACGCTTTAGACATGTGAGTGAACTTGTTATTCAATAGGGATTTTTTTTCGATTTGAGAGAAGAAGCCCCAGATAAAATGATTTACTCAGATACTACGAGATAATTCTCTACACGTTCATGCGCTTTTCGTGCTTCCAGCGAAATGCGCGTGATAGAAATCAAGGCGCGCGGTGGGTGTTACATAATTTTATTTTGTATGCTGCAGCGTCATAAAAGGGTCTTTTTTGAAAAACGGCCGCTTAGCGCTGTAGCCAGAGATTTAGGCCTTCGAATGATTACTAACACTCTTATGAGGAGTTATTGACGAGCGAAATGGGTCGATTTTTTTATTTGTTCCCTTTCATGTCTTTCGTTTCGAGTGTTTTCTTAAGACCACTGCTCAAATTTCGCACTGACGAGATCGCCAGATCGAAACGCGTGTATCGGGCTCTATAAGTCAGCCCTCATTGGTAGACCACTGACATGCGTGGCTCAAATAATAGTCATCAGGCATGTTGAAATTTAGGCAGTGGTCATAAGAAAACACTCAAAACGAAAAGACATGATATATTGAATATACCAGCCAAGAGCAATCGAGTGTACAGCACTCTGTGTTCGGTGAGAATTTCACTGAACATAGAGTGTAAAACGTTCGCCGTCGCTAACTTTTAGTGTGGGGACTGGAGCACTCACATAAGAATGGCAAAAGACCAGAAGGGGTAAGGGCAGTTGCCCGACTGACGAGATCGCAAGATCGAAACGCGTGTATCGGGCTCTATAAGTCAGCCCTCATTGATAGAGCACTAAATTGCGTGGCTCAAATAATGATCATCAGGCATAGTTCCCTTTCAGTCGAACTGAACCGAACATTTTATTATTAGGCTTTATTGTAGCTTTTAGTTGTCTGTTGACTCGTGTTTCAGGGCGAATTTCATTCTATCAATTTTTCTGTATAGTATACTGTGCCTCTACATTTACTGTGCTTTTGTTCGTAGCATATCTTGTTTTCGCACAATTTGTTTTGTATATGGAATGGACAAACACGAATGGAGTATCTATTAGTGGGTTTATATTGTTTTCAACGTTTAGCTATTTTCACTGTTGCAACAAAAATTCTTTTATAGGAAATACATGCGTACCAACTAGGTGTTTTTGGATAACCTCAATCAATGTCTCGGCTCTCGGTGGCCACTCATTATTATTTCACCGTTTATTCCGAGTCCTTTACCATCGGATGGAATGACGTTTCGTAACGAGGGAAATCAAGGAATATAATGATCCGAAATATTTGTAGATTATTCCCCAATAATGCTTCTATATCATCAGTCATGCCTGTTTGATCTCTTTCTATTCCATTGATGACCATGATATGTCGTGAATTTTTTGCCTTAAATTCACTCTTCTACATTTCTTAGAGAGAGCAGAGAAAAATCGAATTAATCTTCAATAACGTGTACAGTTTAATGGTCTGTAACATGTACAATAAACTGAATGTGTTCTGCTCTATTCGTAGCCATAGGCAAGTGTAGGACTTCAAAGATAGCTTTTTATATCTGTTCTGTTTAACGTTGTGATTTGTTAATAGTGGCTAGGATAGCACATCAGCGCGTCTCTATCCAGATACGTAGGTAAACTATCTAAAGTTCCCATTTTATGTACCTATTTACATATATTACTTGTTACTACAAAATGCATGTTTTTGTACAAACATTCACATGAATTTTATGTGATCTATGAGTTCAAGTTACAG